TTTCCTTAAGCTTATTTTGTGATGCACTCCACTTATTTTGCCACGCACTTAACACTTTATATTTTATTTCTGACTTCAAGTCATTTGAAGAAACCTCATTAATAAGAATGGAGTCCTGGCTGAAGGATGCTAAGCGAGCTAGTTCATTTGCTACTTCATTTCCTTGTATACCTGAATGTGATGGAACAAACATGAAGTCAACAGCGATCTTATTTCTGATTGGATATGTGAGACAATTGGATTATTGGTATATAAACGTTTGATACTGTGAAGTGAGCTTAGTAAATCGGTTATTATGAGAGACGAGGACTGTTTCGACTTTTTTATGTGGATAAAACAACTTTGCAGTGTATGACGAAGTAATAGGATTGAATTTGAATTTTAAGGATGCATTGGGTGTGAGGATGGCTGCACCAACACCGTCTGAAGATATGTATGCGTTAGTGTATATCTTATAGTGATTTTTATAAGTTTCCATCTCTATTAAGAATGATTGTTTGATCAGGTCTGTTACAGTCTCACTTTTTTTATATAATATACTAAGGTTAGTATTAATTTTGGGAAATTTGTTGGGAGAATTTCAGAAAATTCGAGATGTAGGTCATGAAGGTTTCTTCTAACTCTTTCGTAAAATGGTGGATCTAGTCTTGTTGTAGAGAAAGTGTTCTGAAATCGATCTGTGAACGTATTGGTATAAGTAGGATGTTCTTTATTACTATTTTAGAAGCATATGAGAGAGAAAGGTATTTTAGTAAACTTAGGGGTGGTTTTCCTGTTAAGCATTGTAAACTTTCAAATGATGTCGTTCGAAACGCACCTGTAGCTATTCATAGAGCTATGTTTTAAGCAGTTTCTTAGGTTTTCAATACTGATACTTTGCTTGATGAATAAACTGTCGCACCATAGTCGAGTTTGGATCTAACTAGAGATTTATATACATGTAATAGTGTATTTTGATCTGCTCCCCAGTTTTTGCCGGAAATAGTTTTCATAAAATTTAATCCTGCTTGGCATGATTTTTTTTTACAGAAGTACTTCTGTATGTCTTTTCCAGGAGAGCTTTTGGTCGAAAACCAAGTTTGATATTATTTGTGAAACTAAGGGTTTGATTATATAGCTTCAGATGTGGAGTTAGAGTATTATGTTTCCGTGTGAATAAAATACATTTAGTTTTTGTCGGTGAAAATTGTAATCCCGTAGTCCTAGACCATGATTCTAACTGATTGATTGTTTGTTGTAAATGTTTCTAAATAGATGTAGAGTTTTTCCTTTAACAATCGGTGAGCATTCATCGGTGTTGAAGTATGTCGTTTATGGCTATTAGAAAAAGGGTTGAGCATGGACGTATAAACATAGATGGACACAGCAATAAGATACCTTTAACACACAATGTTTTGAAGCTTCGATAGAATGTGATGCTTCCGCAATGAGTATAAGCGTGCTTGAATTTTTACTCGCGGGTAATTATTCAGATTTTAAAAATTGGAAGTACCTAGTAATAATGTATAAAAACACGTTCAAAGAATTAAAAAAAAACGAGAATTTAACTATTAACAAATTACGTCTTTATAGAAAAATTAAAATACAATTTTATTATATCTTATTGAATACATTAATGAACGTGAATAAACCCAATGGTACGCCTATTAAAATGTAAACAAACACGCTTTTTTATTTCCTCATCTTAAATAATGTAAATTTAATGTACTTACAAATGAAATGAAAGACCGGGATGTAAATATTTCGTTTATTTTATTTCACTTTTCACAAATATCACTCAAAATACAGCCAAAATTATCTAAAAACAATTTTTCCTTATTTCCTCAATCGTTGTAAACAAACATGGAATAGCATTTGAAGTTTGACGTAGAACCGTAAAACAGATAAATGTAAACAACCGTTGCCATTTATAAATAGTTTTCAGTGCTTCTAAATATAAAATAATTTATTGATATCTATTATACGCTATTATTAAATGATAATGCACACTATGTGCACACTTGATATTTTGATTACAATTAGATATATTAATATAACCAATAAATTATTATTTTGGTTTGATAGCACCTGTAGAGTATAAAATACGGAGTAATATTTTCAGCGACTCGCGAATAAGAATTTTTAATAAAAAAAACGTGACAACAGTTGGAGGTGCTGAGAATGTGACATATTCAAATAATTTTGACTTCACAATTTTATGTAAATAACTGAGTCCATCTGTGTTTATACGTCCATGGGGTTGAGCTTATAACTGATCCTTGTGGTACTGCGTTCTCTTGAACCTTTTTATCTGAGTTAACGTTGTCTGATCGAACTATGTAGCTGCAAGATTGAAGAAAATTTGAAATAAATTTTAACATATTGCCTCTAATATTCCAATTATGCAATTTTGAGATAATCTTGAATCGCCAGACAGTATGTAATTTATTAATATCAAAAAAGACTGCGATACAATCTTGCTTATTTGCAAATGCTTCATATTTTCCTAACTCTAAGTCTATTAGGTAATCTATAGTGGATCGATTTTGCCTAAATCCGCTTTGTTGTGGAATAAGGAGTTTTTGTTGTTCTAAATACGATCCCAGCCTTTTATTTACCATTTTCTCTAGTACTTTACATATAATTTTGTTTAAAGATATTGGTCGATATGACTCAGGTGATGTCCGAGATTTCTCAGGTTTAAGAAGTGGTAGTATTATTGCTTCGGACCAAGTTGATGGGAAAACCTGGTTACCTCAGATAAAATTATAAAGGTCTAGTAATACATTTTTTCCATTGTCTGGTAGATGTAGCAGCAAGTTCTATGAAGGAAAAAGGAACGTTAAGGTTGTGAATCTCATGTCCGTCGGATCCCAATATGCTTTTTTCTACGTTGTTTTTATGTATTTTAAAATTATCAGTGTAATATTCATCACTGGAATTTAATTCGTATTGGTCTGCTAACATATCTATAATTTCTTTTCCATCACTAATTATTTTGTTAATTTTTGCTAGAAAAAGAATCTTATATGGTTTGCTTTTGCCAGAGATTTTCCTTAAGTTTCTCCAAACTGTACTTATGCTTGAAGAGGTACCTATTTAGAGAAGAAATGAATTTTTTCCAGGATTCTTTTCTATTCTTTTTTAAAATCTTGCTAGCTCTTCTTTTTTGTAGTCCGTTATGTTTTCGTTTTATGATGCTTGAGTCTATTGAAAGCTTTTTTATACACTCTTGTAGCTTGGCTGCATTCATGTGTCCACCACGGAAGAGGTTTATGTTTCTTTAAATTTTTTGTTTTTTATTACATACGTCTCTGCGGCTGCTGTGATGGTTTGTAAAAATGTACTTCAAAACTTGTCAATGTCGTTTGATATGTGAAGTTGGTTTGGTTAATGTCCTATTCGATCTGTTTGGTAAAGTTAGTCCAATCAGCATTTTTAATATTCCACTTTGAGATAGGCGATTCGATATTTGTGGTGTTCTGATGCGTTAAAGGAATTATAATGGGGTAGTGGTCACTACCATATAAGTAGGGGAGAGCGTCCCATGTTAACGTAATGGACAGAACTGGGTCCACACAGAGAAATATCAATTGCCGATGATGTGCCATTTTGTATGTTGAATCTGGCTTTCTCGAATTGAGTTGAATTTCTCGAATCATTCATTCTGAACAATCCTTACTAGGTAAAACATAGCGTTCGAAACCTCCTGAGAAGTCAAAGCGCCTGAAGCTCTCTCACGAGGGGAAGACTTAAATATTTTGGAATTATTAATGAATCACAGAATGTAAGCAGTACATCTCTTTAACTTAATCAAACTAGACAATTTCTTTATTAATGAAAAGTCTAATGTGGCAGACAAAGTAATGACCTCGGCAGTCTTTAACTCCGGAATGTCATCTGGAAGAGAAAATCATGGGCCACTTTTTTCAAAGTATTCAAAGAGCATTCTAAATTTAGAAATATTGACACCAAAGAAAGATCAGTGCAATACATGTTCAGGGTACAAGAATGGATCTATATTGGAAGAAGTTTACTAGCCTCACCTACTTAGGAAATCGGAAGCTCGGCAAGAAAAAGAAAATAATAAAACCGAGTACCAAGAAAGTAAGAATATTTTAGTTTTTGCAGTATAATTAAATACTGCAGCAAACTACTACAAAACAAAGTTAAGGGTGCATAACTGGACCTACTATGACCTAAGATATAAGACAATTACCTGCTTTGTATGGCACGAGGGCCAAGGAGGTCTTGAAATTGATATTTTTGTATCCATCGCGACAAAATTCCTAAACTAAAAGATTAATGAACAGTGTCCTACAAAAATCGTTATTTGGAGCGATGGCTGTTGCTATCAAAATAGAAACATCAAACTATTCAACGCCTTACCCGATATTTCCAAAAAGTATTCAGATGCATTCAGAGTAGAAATATCTGGAAGTAGGGCATACCCAAATGGAGGGAGACTCAGTACATAGTCTAATAGAATGAAAGTTGAGACGCAGAAAGCGAATCTATCTGCCTTCTGATTATTTGCGTATTATGAGAGAAGCAAGGTACACTCACTCTCCTTTAACTTCAAGTAGTTGAATTAATGCACTCAGATTTTTATAAGTTTGTGTCAAATTTTTATTCTAGCATAAGGCCCGGTCGTAAAACAGGAGACCCAACGGTGACAGATATCTGCGCTCTCCAATACAATCCAAATGGAACAATTTTGTACAAACTGCAGTTCTCAGACACTTGGGTCGACATGCCTCATCTTTAGCGTTGGATAATTACCAATGATTAATTGTCTCATCTTTACGAAGGCCCGTGTTCAATAATTTAGTGTACTAAGTATGCCCATTTACAAGAACTAAAAAAGTTTATTCCTGCAGATTGCAGATTATTTTATGAAAATTAGTTCCAAAAACAAGGTTTAATTTTGCACTTACATAAAGAAATATTTTTGTATGTTTATGCCTTATGTTTACATTCTATTACTTAAGAAAATAAAGCATTTAAATATCATACAATTAGGTGTAGTTTCTTTATTACAGTACATCATATGTCAAAAAATGTAACCAAGTGGTAGCAAGTAAATTATCTTGTCATTAAAAACGGGTTTCTAAGCCCTAGTTAGTTGATATGTTAATATAATATTAATATATTTCGGCAAAAGTATAGTTTGTCCCAAACAGCAGATTAAATATACGAAAGTTCTACAATTCATATCATTTTTTTCATCTCCTGAAAAATCGTCTATTTTGATATACGACCCATTGGAGTAACTACGACGATAAGGGCGGACCTAATATACCTCTCTCATTTTAAACAGGTGTTTTTCACTCCATCTCACGTAAGGTCCATACCGACCATAAACTTTTACCTATACTGTAGTTAAAGTAAATGGAAATATAAAAAAATAAGGAAAACGGCAAATAGAAGATCGACAAGTAATAGTAAGATATGGAAAACAAGGTATCATAAAAAAAGAAAAATTAAAAGAAGTTTGCACTTTATATTTATTAATCAATATATAGGCTCTGTGCCAAAATTATTTCTAAACTCTTCTCTCAGGCTGGCCAAATCATTCTTCAACTTATCAATCTCATTCTTTAGCCGTTTTACTTCTGTTTCACACTTATCGCTTTTGTCGAGTGCAGAAGTTACTTTATCATGGACTTGATTGTAAAAACCATTATTGAACTTTTTCGATAGATCAATTAGAGTCTTTTGTGTTCTGGATAAATTATTCTCAACCTGTCCTATTTTCTTTTCATTTTCTTTCAACTTTTTTCCAGAAAGACTCTTGCAGGAATTTACTTCTTTTTCAAGGTCTTCTATTTTTTTATTAGAATTGGAGAATTGTGCAGCAACCTCATCTTTTAAGATACCTAATTCACGGCTAACGTTTTTTGTTATAAAAGTAGGGTTCAGTAAGGGAATAATTTTTGACAAAATGCTCGCCTCCACTCTTTGAGCAAGCTCGTCGTTAGGGCCTTGCAATACTAATATATCATTTTTAATGTCTTGGAAAGCAATGTCAAGAGAATTACCTTTCTCATTGAAATCACTCCTAAGCTTTTTTACAGTTTTCTCTACTTCATTTAAACGAGACTCATCATTGGATAATCTGACTGATAGGCTTCTTTTTAGATCAGCAAGTTCTTTAGAAAAGTCCTTATTGGTAGCATCTGTTAGACTAGAAATTGACATGTTTATGTAATTGTAAAGTGATTTATTTAAGTGCTTAATATCGTTTGCTGAAGTTGAAATTATGGTGGATAAAACTCGTTTTGTCTTTTCCAGTTCATCGGAGGTTGTCTTTTGATCAATTGAGCATTTGTCAAGCTTCCCTTCCAGCATTGCTAGATCGTTCTTAAGCATATTTTTAAAGGCGGTTACTTCATTCGATGATTGGTTGCATTTTTTATTTGCTGATGCTAGAACATCATTTAATTTTTGACTAAAAACCATTTCAATATTTGTTAAATTAGCCAATATAAACTTCTTGACATTTTTTTCTAGCGAGTCTTGAGTGTCCGTCAAGTCGTTTTGTAACTTTTGTATGGACCTTTTTGTGTCTTTTTCAAGACTAGTTACTTTATTTAAGCAGGTTGTACTGCTGTGGTTAAGACTTTGTATTGTTGGATTAAGTGTGTTTATAATATTTAATCCCGATGATTGTGTAAGTTTATCTAATTCTATTTTGATGTCTGTATGATAGTCGTACAATTTCTTGTTAACATCATTTTCAAATTCGTTTAAATAATTTTGTAGGTATTTATTATTTTCTGTATTTTTAATGTCTAACTTAAATTGTTTAACACTATTAGTTAAATTTGTTATTATCGAATAAATGTCTGTATCTACAGTTTTCAGCTGGTTAATATCTTTGGAAAGTTTGTTAATATTACTCAAGTTTGTATTAAGTGATGAATTTAGTTTTATCAATTCTGAAAGTATATTTGAAGATGGTTCCTTGACAATGTTGTGATTCTCTATATCTTTTGCTAGTTTATTTATGTCATTTTTGTTGTTATCCATATTTTGTTGATAATATTTGAGAATGCTTTTAAGATTTTCTGAATCTGATAAATAATCGGTATCGATCTTCGTATCAAAGTTTAAGTTGTAGGATTTCAGAGTACAGTCCCTAATAATACTGTCACTAGTATCTCCTTGAGATTTTAATGGCGGAAACAGCTTTTGGTCCAAAACGAATGTAGATTTATTACCAGGTAGCAAACTAGTAAATGATACTAAGAAACCTTGTTCTTCGACATACCAAGCTTGTTTTCCTTGGCAAATGGTTGTGTTCGATAGGCTTAATGAAAATGACTGATCTTTTATAGGATCAGAGTAAACAAGATATTTTCTGTTTTCTACAGTAAAGGTCCAAAAATCAACGTAACCATAGAAAATTTGCTGCAATTGATTAGAGCATACGGCTTCTGGTACTGGATTGACTTCCCAGACTACGGCGTAACTATTTCCTGCGGAAGAGTCATAGCAAAAACCAGCGTCATACCTGCATTTCTTTCCGGATCTACAACCAAACAAAAACATATTGATTAGGACATGGGGTACAAAATTCTGGATTTGGTTTTATTGTTATAAGTGTGATACCTTCATTTTGAAATTAACATCATTCTAGATTGTCATTAAGTTTCATGTTATAAGATGGTAAACGAAATCGTTGGGCAAATACAGCTTTACCGCTTTGTCTTCGTTGCCTGTATTTTTATACCTTTCAGCATCGGATTGTTTATTTTAATATTTGTTGCATATTCAGTTATTTTTATTTCTGCACTCATTGCTCACATTTTTTTAATCGTTTGCCCTTCTTTGTAAAATTTCGTTTATTCTATCTGTATATTGTTTCTTTAGGCCCTTGTCCCACGACACGCGACACGATGTCGTCACGATGTATCTTTATTGTTTAACCTATGGTTTATATACACCGTACCAACGCACCGGCAAAGAGACATTCAAGCTACGTGTCGGCATCTTGTTGCCCAGCGACTCGACAAGCCAGTTTGAAAGCAAAATTCAAGCTGTGTGTGCGGTAGTAAATAACGAAAAAATAAATTATGGCACAACGTGAACAAGAAAATAATGAAAAATTAGTAGATGCTGTAGAAAAATATCCTTGTTTATACAATTATAAGTTAGCACAATATTTTAAAAAAATTGTGACAGAAAAAGCTTGGGCAGCAGTAGCCAAAGAAGTAAACGACACAGGTAAGTAATTTATTAATACATTTTATTTGTAATAAACGTCCTGTTAAAAATAAATAAAGTTTTAATTGTTAATGGTACATTTCCATTGCCAAGGTAGAGGTACCTGTAGGAAGTACTGGGATAAATAATCTCTCAAAGTTTGTGCATTCGATCTGTCACAGAGAGTAATTATATCTTAGTCATTTGCAAACATGTCAGGCGATCTGTCATCTGTGTCATCTTCCTCTTCCTCCTTTACATTATACTTTGTTAAATACGGTTTTCCTTCTCTAATGCGAATATAGTTGAGAAGGATACAAACTGCTCGAATAATATGATTAACAGATTTCACTGTTTTGCAACGAATTGCAGTCAATAACAACTGAAATTTTTGTGTCATCATGCCAAAAGAGCACTCAACAGATTTGCAGCCTCTACATAGTCGGTAATTAAATATTCTATTCTTGTTATTTAGTCTTTATTTCGGATATGGTCGTATAAGATATTTCTGGAGAGGAAATGCTTCGTCAGAAACAAAGTAATGCGGAAAATTTTGACCAGTTTCATCATGACGCAAGGACTTGGGTTTCGGCAAATCTTCTTGTAACCACTGAGCTATTGATGATACTTTGAAAATGCCACATCACTATTTCTTCCAGCATAACCAGTTTCGATCATAATGAAATTCTCGTCAGCATCACTGCAAGCCATCAAAACAAGCGAATAGAACAATTTGTAATTAAAATTTTCAGAACCAGTTTTAAGCATTTTTTGTATTCGTATATGCTTTTCGTATGTATGCATTAATTGACCCCCGGCAGTTTAGTAAGTTCCACAATTCTTCATATCTATCTACTACTATTGTCCACTGATTTCGATTGGGAATTGGCATATTATATTTCTGCTGTAAACTTTTCCAAGTAGCATCTGTTGTTTCAAAGAAAATTTTTGCAATAGTGTTATGTCCTCGAGCAAGATAAAATGCAAAAGAACTGAAGGTACATCCCATGGCAAGATATCTGTAAAGAAAGAAAAAACTATATTATACACAAAACTATGTGATCAGTTTTTTATAACTCAGGTTCATAAAAATAATTTTGATAGAAAACTGTAATTGTCATATATCTTTTGTGTTGTAGTAAACACCTATAAACAAAAATGGAAAAATGTGAGATCAGCGTTTGTAAGAAATTTAAAACCAGCTCCAAGTGGGTCATCGCCTAAAGCTAAAAAGCCATACTATTTATACGATACGATGCAATTCTTATTACCATTTGTAAAGACGAACGCCCCGGACTCCGACACGCAAGGAAATTTACCATTACTAGTTGAAAAAACCACGGAAAATATTAAGAGTGAAAATGCACAACTGCACCCAATGTGACTGAACCTAGAGAGCCAATGGTTAGAACAGAAGGCATCATTCGAAAAATAGCTAAAAACGAGGCTAAAAAACGAAATTCACATGTACTGGATCCTGATAGAGCATTTGTCGAGTTCTGTAAAAATCTTAAAAACAGAAGTGAAAATGTGAACCCAAATAAAATGTTCTTATTGAGTTTATTACCAGAAGTAAACCAGATGAACCCTCAACAAATCAGACGATTTAAAAGCCAAGTAATGCATCTTATTGGCGATATTTTAGATGGACCGCTTTTACCAACGAATGAACAATCAGCTACATTACACACTAGTAGCAGGCCTTCATCTGCATTCTCATCTCTTGACACTTGTAGCGCAAATTCATGCACACACGGAAGCAGTCTGAGCACAACTCCTTCTCCTACACCTCTTGCAACTGCGTACACGCACGGCGAAAATGAATATAGTTCCAGCAGACCTTTACCTTCGCCTAGCAACCCTAACGTCGAAAATCGGTGGCCAAACCACACTTATTCCCGTGTGCCCAACAATAGTTTCAGTGGAAATCAATGGTCAAATGTATGGACCCTCTCTAACAAAGAAACACATTAGACTTTCCACTAAATTACTTAAGATTAATTAGATAGATTAAGTTTGTAAATTATACATATTTGCAACAATAAAAGTAATCATTATTTGTTTACCTTATTTAGTTATTCAACACTTTACACTTTTTCGGAAATATGTATCTTTCTTTTGGACGTGAGATCCGAGTTTTTCAACCAGCTCGAAAAACAGTTCTTTTGACATTCGGTAAAATAATTTAAACTTTTGCTGTTCTTTAGCAGCAACAAACATTCTGTTTTTTGGTTTCTTGCAATAAAAGGATGCACCCACCATTTCCTTTTTCCAAACTTTTTCCAATTTTTTCTATTTCGTAAGTACCAGTACATCCCAATCACATCATCGTCTTCACTCGATGACATTGTTTACTGAACTGAATGTCGTAGAGATATAAAAAACATGTTGCTTTGATGGGACCACTCCATGTCACCTGCTTGTGCCAATCGAAATCGTGTCGCCGTCGCGTCGCTGTTGCGTAGCTTTGGTGGGACAAGGGCCTTAGTCTTAGTTAAATTGTTTTGGTTTTTTCTCTTTAGATATCCATACCAGCTAAAGTGTTTCTTTCAATTTTTTGTAGTAGCAGTTCTTGATATATCTGTTGTCTAATTTCTTTATTTTTGTTTCAGTCAATTTTGGCATTTCCAGCAATCATTCTAAAATATTTCATTTTTATAGCTATTATGTTTGTTTCTTGTTATTTATTCCAATATCTATACTTCGCTTACATAATATAATAGGTGGGCGAACTATTCCGTTAAAAACTACAAGTTTAACTTTTGTGTATAATTGTTTATTCCTTTGAGTTTTCTTGCATTTAATGCATAATATACGAAAGTGGCGTTTTTTCGTCTTTTTTTTTATATCTAAGATATTTCGATTTGATTATTTTATTCGTTCTATTATTTCTCTTTGATTTTAATTATTATATTCTGTGTTCTCTCTTCCGTATTTATTATCATCACGATTATTGTGAATTGTATCCTTTCTACCACACAAGAAGCGAGCCAGACGTTGGAACTGGCTAAGTAGTTGGACTTGGATTAAACAATCCTACGTCGAACTGGTAATAATAATACTTTGTTGTATTTAATAGCACTTTATTTTACGTTGCGCTGTAGTTTACAAAGAAAGTAGTTTACAAAAGTTACGAATGACGTTTACTTGAAAACACTTTAAAATTTTAAAAATAACTACTTACTGCGACAGTTACGAAAATCAAAGCCGAAAACGGGTTTTAAAAAATGATTTACTTAACAAAATTTATGTATTAGGAACGTACAAGTATGGTACCAACTACAAAACAAAAAGCTCTTAATCTAATTAAACAATGGTTTATATAGTCTTTCTATATGTCGTCACATATTATATAACCCAGGGACGTATCTCAAAAGTATATAACTTACACTAACTATTTATTTTTATGCTATGTATGCTGTTCAATTTTCTCACATGCGAAAAACCATGTCATTTTTTCGCTGTATTATTAACTATCCTTATATCACAATTTTACAATCATTATCCTAGTCCAACCCTTAATAACCCTTCCTACTTACATTTTACCCCCTATCCATAAGAAATACAGACAGTTCTAAGATAGCAAAGAAGAAAGACTCACTCTCTCGATGGTCGCCTGTCGCTAAGGACAGACCATTATCTCTCTCTTCGCTTATCAAGAAGAACAGCATCTATCTTGGCTGTTTGTCGCTAATTATCTCTCTCCAGTTTTAGTTGCGCGAGAAATACTGCAAACACTATTTTAAATCGTGTACAGACAAAGTGTGCTCTTATCTCGCAAAGTGTAGTACCGCGAAACACGTGTTTAGAAAAACCGCGAGTGTGCCCGAACATATTCCTCATAAGAAAAGAAAAACCGTGAGAGTGTGGAGCAGAAAAATATTGGTAAGACTTTCTATACACTTAAATTGCTATTGTCTGTATACCTTTTATTACATATCCTAATTTTATTGAACCAGCCCTATATAATACAGTCCACATACAAGGAAATTATATTAATAATTTCCCACATATGTACACCCTTTTTGTCCATATTTTGGCCCTGATTCAAGCCGGATTTCAACCATAATCTCTCTCTATCTCTTTGTCTCATATCTTATTCTACATAGTGTTTTACACTTTTGAATCATATATAAATCTTTATTCTCTCTGTTTTATCTCATGCTCAATTGAACATATTTTGAACCAATTCGGTTCAAAATTTTTAT